CTTCTCGGGACTATGTGGTAATAAGATTCGGGCTTCAACTAGATGTAACCAGATTGTCAGGGTAGCGTGCATATGGCAGCACTCCTCGTTATTCAAAAAAAAAAATAGTAATCGGAAAGTTTGTCGTTATATCGGGAATGACCTATCTTCACAGGCACAAAAAGCGCGCGGAGAAGCGTTGGCTTGTTGAAACTAAGAATATTTAGTTAGTACATGTGTTTATCTACAAGAATCGGTTTGGTTCGAAATATCGTACTAGACACTTATCACTGAGTGTGAGGTTTATCTTGATTGAAACAGTCTTAGTGCTTGGCTACTCTTACCAAAGGAAGAGGTGTCTGGCTAGCTGGAATAAACGATATGTACATGATGTATGTATCCTTGCGTTTCTCTCAAGCCCCTCATGCTCAAGGTCTGGGAAGATGCATCCAGATTTCCCAAAGGTCGATAAAGCGCTGCACGCATCGTATGTTGACCGTGGTAATAATAGCACAAGATAAGAGATCATCGAAATGCTGAAACTGATAGGTGTCGATATGATAACTGAGTTTTGAAAAATAAGGATAATTATATAAGGGGAATGCCTTATGTGCTGTTGCACCACCCTGAACTAGTCTGTTGGAGAGGCATTGCGCTTACATATATAAGGTATGTCATGTAAATGATCAGCTTGTGGTGTGCACCGGTGCACCAGTCTCGTACCCATCCCCCACACGTACTTAGCATCAAGCTGCTCATAGAGGGCTGGGTACGAGCCTAGCTAGGTGTATGTATACGTCGAAGAAATTAAAGATTTGCCGCCAGCGGCTAACTAAATGCAGTAACAGGTTTCGCTTGTGTTTTATTTACACGCGCGACGACGGCAAGGCAAACCAACAGCCCCTGGCGTGTACTTATCTTCTAGGTTTATAGATATACTACATCTATGTGTAGTATAAAACTCTGGCACTAAGAACTCCTTTCAACACTCATGTACCGACATATGAAACTTAAGCTTCGGGGCAATGTTTAACGGGGAGGAGCTGTCAAGAGTATCTGGAGGTACAACTCACCTATATAGCCTATAAAGAACATGTACATGTGCCTCAACGTACAACAAAGAGGAGCATTACGGCCTAGAGACGGAGTAAAGAAGCAAGCTCGACCAGGGGGACGTGTGTGTATCGAATTCGTGAATCCTTCATGCCTTTAGTAATATGATGATCGATGGCCGCCAGCTATACAAGGCTAGCTAGCTACAAATGCAGCAAGTATTACTATATCACAAGGGATGACATGATAAGAGCCTCGAGCTCTTTGTTAAGATTGTACTAGGTTTCATAGAGCACTGCAGAGTAATATCACAGCATGGCGAAGTCCCCTTCAAAGGTCATTTGGTCGTTTGCAATATGCTAATTGACAGGTCTGATGAGGCTCTGCAGTACTGCCAGCATGTAGAGTAGGCAGAAACATGCACCTCGCTACGCGTCGTATCGGAACAGCGCCGGTATTATGTTTAGCTTCCTCATAGAGTATACGTATATACATGTACTTCCAGCTCCTAAAGACACAATTAACATGTAGTCCAAACGTAATTTACGGCCGGCCCGAGGACTTGTCTAGAAGCGCATCTCTCAACCTAGCTGAGGCCGGTCTAGAGCAGGTCTTTGCACGTTTTTAAACTGAGTTCTTATGGATAAATGTGTCACCCGGGCATTTCGAATGAAAAATTATATACATTGCTGTCTGTATGTAGAATTCAAGCCTTGCATGATGTGATATACTGAAGTGCGGGTACATATGTACGTGAGGCTCTGCGGCCGTATTTATCAGATACTCTCTACCCAGTGAGTTCCCTAGGCCTACGTCACAGACGTACCGACTATAGCTAAATTCACATGTAGGACCCGCGGCCAGTACCACTCGATTCGCTGGGCATGCGCAGGGAAGAGAGTACTATAGTATATACTATCGATGTTAATTAGAAAAGAGTTTTCCTTTAAGGGCATTGATAATTTGGATCGAAAATCTGGTATGTATCTACATATGCGAATGGACGCATTGGACCATTAAAATTTAAAAAAAAAGTTCTTAGCCCACCATGATGCCTACACGTGACCTGGAGACTTTGCGCCCCTGCGTACATGTATATACATGTATGTATATTTTCTAGCGCTAGTAATAGAAGAAATAAGAATGCTTTACGCAACCAGAGTGAATTCTAAATATTGTTATAGAGGCTAGGCTGATATTTGTGACCTACACGGCCATAGAAGGTTGGTACTATTGTAGTTGATGTTTAGTACTTTTTTATGTATGCTCTAACTTTAATATTCAGTGTTTGACTGATATATGGTTCAGTAATTATGTAGTATATTAGCCAGAGTAAGGTACGCAGTTTTACCGGGTCAATGATATGTGGCCCTCTTGTCTTCATCCCCAGGGCTGGGGCCCTACAAAACCCAATGACATGTAGTTATTTAATAAATACTAACTAACCGTATTCGCCACATGCACAAGAATACCAATATATATTCGGGGCACGTAAGAACTTGAAAATGACTTTTGATGGTAACGACCTCTGATTCGCGGCTGGCGAAAAGCTACACCAAATTGAGCCCCTGCTTGCAGCTTGCATTTTCAGGTTCTGATTGCCTGCCCGGAGTAGCTAATCCAAACCTCTGGGTCCTAAGACAGATTGGGTAGGTCATAGTTTGGTCAACGAGTAACGCATGAATAAACTAAAGGCCTAAATTTGAACTTTTTATGTGGTGGCGTCATAATCAATTGCAATCTAGAGCTGAATTGATCTAAGAAGCTGGAATCGATCAATCGCGCATTGCATGAACATAAATTGGTTTCGTCTCCTGTGCAACTAGCTGGCTGTACATACATGTATGTACGGTCGATCATGATATTCAATTGCATGACCTGCATGTTTTTTTTTTTTTCCTTTTCATGTCTAAATCAACGTCACATCCAGTGGTGGTTCTAAAGGCATTAATTACTCTAAGTACTCTAGGTTCAGCATTGAGCTAGTCGATCGATCTTGAGACTTTCAAAGCATGGCTAGCTATAATGATTGTCTTCCATCATATCAGCCTGCACTCCCCAAGTCAGTACTGCAGAGACCTCTAGACCTGACAAGCGTCGTCAGTCTGATATAAACATAGATTTATCTCGGTAGATGTTTCCTACTCACTCTGGTAAATATCTCATCAAAAGGATTAATTTCATAGAGCATACGAATTAATTTGTTTTTATCATTCTCTCTTTAATTAAGTTGTAACCGAACTGGCTGTTTCGGCTCAGCAATATTGCCTTCGAGTCCAGGATTGCGACGGCACAAGCCAGGCATACACTTCATTACATGTAATCGCTCCAGTAAGGTAAACATAATCGTCTCTTCGGAAATCTTTAGTACGCCACGATCATTGATAGCTGGGAAGCAGCGCATGTAACTACGTTTTGTGGAGAAAGTATCCTACATGACGGATTTGCCATCCAATGTAGCCGGCGAAAACGTACAGGTGTGGATGTTTTGGTTGCAACTGTTCAAGGGGTAGTTGACTATGCAGCCTCTCAGCTTCAAATAGAACGGGGTACGTACAAGGTAAGATAAGTAGAGTAGTCTTCAGCTGGATCCGGAGTTTGTGTATTGATCATCTCTAGTGCAGTGCCCCTGAAAGGATCATCGGCTAGAGGCTGTGTGTCTGTCAGGGTATACATGTACATATAGTTACGCTTAGTCTCGTACCCATCCCCTACTTAGCAGCAAGAGGCTTATGTACATGTACGTACGTATCCAAGCCTGCAGGGAGTGGTGAGACGAACGCCGAATATTTCTGGCGCGAGCACTTTGAAGTAGGTATGTACACACTCTCTAGTACGATATAAGAATATATAGATACATAATACATGTATGTGGTTTGCTGTAGTACCCATGGGATAGGAAGGATTATAGATTGGCACGGAAAGCTACTCTCTGGAGACCGAGTTTCATGTGCGGTGTACGTTGGTGACCTACATTGCCAGTCCTAAATGAATAATGAAGAAGCCGCACTTATATGTTTTCCTCTTGATATGAGGCTCAATTGACGAACCTCCCATGTACATGTACACATGCATGGGATAGAGAGATAATATTATGCAGCTCCCAATTGTACCCCCGGACCTTACTAGCATACCCCGCCGGACCTAAGCTACCGCAGTAATTATAACTGCTCATAAAGAGTGCCTGTTCTCCCTTCAATTCCCCCACTCTCCAAACTCAATTCTTCAGTGTCGAGATTGTGCTCTGCTCTTCGTCCCCTCCTCCCCGTCCCCTTCCCCATCCTCTCCTCACCTTCACGCTAATCAAGACGGCAACCTACACAATTGCTCTTTGAACGTGCATCAACAAGTTCTCCTTCAAGTTTATCTACAAAAAGAAAAGCTCAATGGATAACTTCTCTGCAACTGCAGCTCGTATGCTGCCAGGAGTTGGATCACCTGTATCTGTTGGAGGTGGAATGTTTGACATCACAGCAATCCCAGGATTTGACCTCGTGCAAAGACTATTCCTAAAATTAGGATTAGATTCTAGTCTACTAGGCAAGTGATCATCTCCAACAGTCAGCACGCATTTTGTTTCTACTTGCTTTTTCTTCCCTTATCCCAAGCCCAAGTTTGAACAAAACGAGCAGCACGTAAGGCAGACTTTCTTGCTGCCAATGAGCTCTCAAAGATCCCACTCCCATATGAACTGTTTGGCCTAAAAGCCAGCTGCTTTAACCTTCTCTGGTTTCACCTTCCCTTCCAATTATCTCAGCCTCTTCATTTTGTTCACATTGGCAGTAAATTTCCTCTGACTTTATCTCATTCATTTAGTCACCATTGGGATGTCTCTAACACTCCTCACCTCTCTTTTCTCATTTTTCACTTATTCCATATCCTCCGTTACAACCCTTACCCGTTTTATTTCCGCCAACCTGGTATCGTCGGCAACAGTTCACTCTTCAGATGTAACCTATCTGTATGTCATGCGCTGGCTAGCGGCCAACCATGTGTCCACTGATTGCCGTCTCTTCTGTGTCACGAGCAGAAAGAACCCCATGAGCCATGCTGTGAAACGCTTTAGTTCATATGGACCTTATGGCGATGCTTCAGCGCGAAATGAAGAAGATGATGATGATGATCTTGATGGCCTGGATGGATCCTGTGAAGAAGATAGACTGGGCCCAAAGCTCAAGTATACTCCTGCACCTGGTAAGTTTTGTCGGGGTCATTTCTTTTGTTTTGCTTCTCGGACATATGCGATTTCTATTTTTGAGAGTGTCAGCAATACTGCGTGGCTGTGCGCGTGTGAAGCTAGTGGGGCTAGTTAAAAACCCACAATCCTTAATCCCTACCTGCCCTAAGCGGTGGGTTTGTAACACTGCCGGTCTTGGTTCACTATTCGTTCATGAGAATCAAAAATTCCGGGCTGATATCTTCCCCACCCTTTAAATCACATATCAAATCATATCTGACTTCTCACTCGGGCCGAATACCTTGCTGATACATAAGATTTTAGGGTTCCTTTATTTTTGGTACAAGAAAAATCTCATTCTCATCAACCGTAAGCTTGATTTGACATACTATACAGGCGATATCCCGGATGAAACGATGGTATGTCAATCCTCATGCTACAATAAATCATCCGATAACTAATATTCCCTCTGCCCTGCAGATTCTAACAACGATTGGGCGTTCCCCCAATCTCCTCCGTGAGCTTCTTGCCGAAGCCCGTCGAGAGTATCTACTCGCCCAGGCAAAGAAAACAACGGTATATACCATCTCACCAACTCCGTTCGCTCAGAAGAGTTGGGATCAAGGCCGTCATCGTCCCTCCCGCGACATCTCAACTGTCATTCTGCCCCCAGAGTCAAAAAAGCTCTTGCTTCGTGATGTGAAGGAATATCTCAATCCAGTTACAGCTCGTTGGTATGCTCAACGCGGGTTGCCCTACCGCCGTGGATACTTATTCTATGGACCGCCTGGAACTGGCAAGACTAGCTTGAGTCTTGCTCTAGCCGGAGAACTTAAAGTGCCACTTTACATCTTGAGCTTATCTACAGGAAGCCTAACTGATGAGACTCTCACTATGTTGTTCGTGGGGCTCCCCAAAAAATGTATCGTTCTCCTTGAAGATATCGACTGTGCGGGAGTTCAAAGAAACAATAACGGCAATTTCATGTTCGATGATTCCGATTCGGAGGACTCTGACGAGGAAGATGACAGCTCTGATTCTGATTCAAAGAGTGGGGCGAGTAAAACTAAGGAAACTAAATCGAAGAAAAAAACAACTAATAAGATGGAAGCAACTACTACGGGGCCACACAATCGTATGAAGACATCAGTCAGTTTTTCAGGGTTGTTGAATGCTATAGATGGAGTTGCAAGCCACGAGGGGAGGATTCTTATCATGACTACCAATCACAGAGAAAGACTGGATCCTGCTCTGATCCGTCCTGGACGTGTCGACATGCAAGTCGAATTTGGTTACGCCGGTAGAGATACACTGGAAGAGATCTTCCGCGAGCTTTACTCACAAGTTGATGGCATGGACTCCGCTACGATCGAGGAGGAGGAAGAGGTATTTGGTGGCGAGGATGAACCATTGATACCCTCCGAAAAGAAAGCCCGTAACGAAATCGATCGTCAAGCGCAATATACACATCTTATTGCAGAGCTCGCCGAGAAGTTCGCGAGGATGATCCCAGCTGATAAATTTACGCCAGCCGAAGTTCAAGGATTTCTCATATCCTACAAGCGAGCGCCTAGACTTGCAATTCGAAACCTCCCGGCTTGGCTGGATTCGAAGCGCTCGGCAAACGAAAAGAAGGGCCGCAAGAAGACAAAGAAGGCCAAGTCTGAGGAGACCCCTGAGTCTAGGAAACCAGGGCCTTCTAAGGTGCTTTCGATCAATACTGTGGATTTACACAATGACGAACTGAGAAATATTCTCGCGGAAATCGTCAATGCAGTCCTAAAGGATAATAAAATCTTGCAGCACGATGATAAGATCAACAAGGCGCCTCCTACCCCCATATCCCCAACATCCCCCACTCCCGTGAAGAATGAAGTCACAACCACAGAGCGGCCGGTGGGTTTGGACTACAACGAATGTAGGGTTTGTGAATAAAAGTGCATCCTTGTTCAGATACCGACATACATACCATCATTAATCCATGTTCACTTGTTGTATTTACGTACTATCTTTAATATGGGGGTATTTCTTTAGTCAATAGTTCATGTCAATACAAAAATGGTTCTAAGTTTAAGCATGAAGCATGAAGTGACAAGCATTGCCATACAGGGATTTCTCACTGAAAATTCCGTTATTAAAGTTTAAGCGTCTATTGAAACCAATTTCTCTATTTAAAATTCAATACACGAACCAATGCATAAATATGTATTTTCCTTTGAATCATAGAATATCACTCGAGCGTATTTGAGAAAATATGCAAAACCTGTTTACTCTGGTGCTCCAAAATTAATTCATCAACTCTAGAGTATGTCCAACAGCTCACAAATCTATGGTTTATCCTGATAGATCATGCGGACCCATCATGCATACGGTTATATAGACTTAACAGTTACATACCCGGCCAGTTTCAGGTATTTGGTCCCTCAAACAAATAATGCATAGCTGTCAAAATACCGTACACCCACATATTTACAGGCGCAGAAATGCTGTAAGGGACTGTCATGTGTACAATCGGTGCGGGGTATCTTCGAAGAATGCAGCTCAGCCTTATCAAATACATATCAAATAAACGAATACGCTCGTATGACATGTCTCTCGTCTCGTCATCAAATCACGGCAAGATCGAGGTAAGGCATGAATCGAAAACCAAAATCTGTGAACTGCTCGATACGCTCCTAGAGTTTAATTTGTCCGTTTCGGTCGGCTCCATTGGGTCCATCAGTGTGACGCAAGAGCCTATAATCATCGGAATGGGACTTTAAATGGCTGAAATAATTGGCACAGTCACTTCTCGGCCCTTATCTGACTGTTGACAATAGACTCTCGCTCCTTCACCAATGATTATGCTGGTCTCAGTAGATCGACTTCCCCCCTGCTCTGGAATGTAGCATGCATGTTTCCAATCATCTGTTCTTTGCAACCACCTTGAATTGTTTCGGTTAGCTCACGTCTAGGATCAGCCTCGGTTAAGGGGGTAATCATAAGTTTCTGACCGGAGGTGTTGAGGATTACTGTGTAGTTGCTCCTCGAACATGAGTACCAGTTTCATCTGTAGGATAATCAATTAACGCCAAGTTGTACAACCTATAATAGCGAGCCCAGAAAAAGGTCATTAGAAGAGTTAATATTTAAATAATACTTAGGAATATGCGATTAGCAACATATCGGCCCGCTTTATAGGGCCAACAACCAATATGTTTTTTTAGATATTGTAATCAGGTAGTATGACTAGTGTGATCCATGAGCCGAGCCAGCTCGAGCCTTGGGCTCGAGCTTTTGGCTTGTTGAGAGCAAACCTTACCCATTCATGAGCCGAGCTGGCTCAAGCCTTTTCCGTTAATACACGAGCTTCGGCTCGAGCCAAAATTGCCATGCTCCTAACTAGATATCTGAGATGAGACCTGGAAATTGGGGTTCATAATGATCTCTATACATTGGTGAGTTGTAGGTAATGCTATTATTAAAACCACTTTCGGCAATCTCGCTGTTTTTCCATGTCCCCACCTTTTGCAAGGAAAAAACCTGTAACTCTGGTCATTGACCACAAGCTCGAGCTGTATCATGAGCCTGTACCAGAAGCTCGAGCTCTGTGAGTCCTACACCCACCGGGCCGAGCCAACTCGAGCTTTTTCCCGGCTAGACTCGAGCCGGTTCATGGACCACACTACTAGTATCTGCATTAGCAGCTTAGCGTTATTATCTCCTAACCCACTAATTCTACTGCTTCCACATATAGCTATGTAAAGTAAACAAATAATTAGGCTTATCACTTACTTTTATGTGAGAAAACATTAATAAATGAACCAGTAAGCAAAATTACTACAGGTTCTCCGTAAATTAAAGTTTCATGATTGCCTTTGCTTCCGCATTACCCCCGCACGCCTTTTGCTAGTGCATTCCGTGTGCCTTTAAGAGCCCTGTCCCTGTTGGCCATATAAAAGTTAGAACCATTGGATCACTTGATGCCACCCTCCTTCTGCTAGAATAACAAGTTGAACTCATAATATTGCTCATATAGGTGTTTGGCCTCATGCCCGCATACTTCGGAATCCGTGATATTAGAATTGTCTACAGACCACTGACATAGGTCAGCAAGTACTATATATTATAATCTTCCTCTAACAGTGTACTTACATCCTGGTTAGTAGACCATTAATACTAATAATACTGTACCAACTCTTCATCCTTAGCAAAAACCGTTGTCCCCAGCATGAGGAACCATTCAAGCTTAACAGACCTTTCATTTATCTATGGACCCCAATTAGCATATGACATATTCATAGTTTGGGTGTAATTCAGCCTCCCGGGTAAAAAAGAAGTAAAGTAATCACGGCATGACTCAACGTTATCCACTGTAGAATGTATAAAGGCTTCAGCAAGATTGGTGTGCAGAGCCAAATCCAACTTTAAAAACCTACATGGTATCCAAGATAACATAGAATCATCACTTGGCTGTTTTTTCAACATACTTTCACAGGGTAAATTATTTTTCACTCCTGTCGCTTATCTTTCCCATGCAGGATTTAGACGCCGCCTTCGCTAAGGTAGTTAAGCATTCCCTTAGGATTTTTAGTGCCTTTCGATGGACCTCTCACGGACGCCCTGAATTTTCCTGCAAATATCTCAGTTTTTGATGCTTCCACACACCTAATTCATTCTTCACCTTCATATTTCAAACAACTTGAGAGACTCACTTGCGTAGATGAATCATGGGCGATCACTCGCAGGAAATAGTCGATCCGATGGCCTCTAAACTCTATCATTTGACGGCCCCCATTCTAGTCGGCGGCTGTGCTATCAATAAGGCATCAGGCACTACGCACTGACTGATCCTGAGCGCTCGAACTCTTATAGAGTAGAGATGAACTTAGAAGTCGATGGCGACTCCCTCGATATTGTGACGTTTCAGATATATGTGTTGTCGATAGCATTTTCTGCGTTGGTGGTAATCCTGAGGGCTGGAAAATCTTCAACCCCGCTCTCCATGATGATGAAATTATTGTTTAGCGGACAGCGAATTGCTACCTCGCATGAAATGCCTTACTGACGGTGAGGATTTGGCATTGGTGAACCAGGACGAGACCGGTTCTAAGCGAGCATAGAGCCAGCCAGCTGTTTGGCTGATGGGCGCGTTTCTCTGCTGATGCTATGTGGTAGTCATTATTCGATTGGATGAGAGATTATAAGGGTTTGTTTACCGAATACGGCGGTGTCGTGACAAGACCAAACAGGCCTCAGCCAAATAACACAAGAGCATCGAAGACATCATTTGGGTGACGTCATGGATAAAGCACTTGGGCAAAGAGGACAGTGAATCAATCGTAGAGTACACATCCACCTTATCCATGTCTCAAATATCTCACACGTGTACACGTTTCGTTGATCCTCACTCCTCACACAGGCTGATTCATCTACAACGTATGCCCGATACCCACGGACTACAAGTGCAACCGTGCACACGTACAGTGCTCGGTTGGTGAGACCAGTCAACGCCCCACCTCGACACGTCCCGGCCCCACAAACGGGCTCGCAAGGCAAGCTCCACAGCGTATTCTTCAAGATTAGTCTTCTACTAAATCATCTGAAAGCCGTCGTCGTCGCCAATCATATCGAGTGATGTCTTATGATTGCATTGTTGTGGGCAAGGGACCTGATATCTTTGGCCGTGCTAGATTTACGTGTAAGATAAAACGAACCACATGTGTTATCAGGTTTAGTTTAATGTCTTTTGGCTAAAGTTTCAAGGTGACATAAGACAGATCAGCATTATGCTCATTGGATAATCATTCCGTCACGTGGTAATCTGTGACGAGTGATATTTAATGACGCATGCATGGCACAACTCAGCATATATCCATGTATACTTATTTTTTTATATATGAACCATAACCCACTCTATATAACACATATTCATTGGGCGAGATCGTGTGAAGGAGAAGGAGAAGGAGAATAGGAAGCGAAAGTTACCCACTGATGAGGGAAGGGGAACGGAAAGAAAACAGCTGCGATCACACGAGGACGTAATACGTACTACAGGGAATGAATCAAATAGAAATAAAACAACAAAATACCAACTCCTGCACTCCCTCTCCCTCCTCTTCGTGCAATAAGCAATAATGCTGCCGCGCAATCGTACCCATCATAGTCCCCTTGCGCCAAATGAACAAAAAGAATAGAACGTTAAACTTAAGTGAGGGAAAGGAGCAAATTTCCCCACAGCATGCGACACAGATGTTGGATATATACTGCATAAGACATTCGAGCAAACCCCGTGTAAACGCCAACAGTAAAAAAAAAAAGGATAGATAAAAATGATTGTATTAAAACAGAATTTCTAAGAAAAAAAGAGCGTTACCTGATTAAGCACCTCATAGTACTTCTTCACACACTTGGTGCTTACCAAACTATTCTGATGGAGTTGGGAAGTTTGGGTCAGCCCAGCAAGGAGCCGGCATATATTCCAAACAATTGAGATTCCAACTAATGTTGTTCAAGTTGAAATTTTCACTCATCATTTCATACTCAAAATTTGCTTGACCTCCACTAGTTTGATAGTGTCCATCAGTATAGCCCCCCATTGTCATTATATCCATTCCCTGCACATTTTCATGGTGGTGCTGTCCATAATCTGCCTTTGAGCCTGCACTAAGTCCAAGTAGCATCTGAGCATCCGAGGCTGGTGTTGACCCCACAAGTGGACATTTGGACGCCGGGGAAACCGTTGGGGTTGGGGTTCCATGTTGGTGATTGGTGTGTGAGGATGGATGCATAGAGGATTGCATTTCATTCCTGTCGTTGTGTATCATCGACCCTTGATGCGTAGATGGTGCAACAAAGTGGTTTTGCTGATAGTTATGGAGATCGTTATTGGTGACAAGCCAGGTCAAATGCATATTTGGCGAGTTTGATGTACCAGTTGCGGTCAGGAGTTCAATTGCTAGAGGTTTAATGTATCAGTAATACTATTTAAAGCTGTGGGTTTGAGAACAAACATTGATTGGAATCACCATGAAAATTGCTTCCAAAAGGTGATGGCATTGGCTCGGCAACACGGCTACCACCACCATGCAAGCTACCAGCTAGGGGTATTTGGGTGCCCTCTTCAATCTTGACGAATGTAGGGCCTGAATCCCTCAAATCTCCAGGAGTGAGGCCACGGAATCGCCCCAAGGTTCCCGGGGTCAAACGAGGAACTTCGACGCCTTCCATTTCTTCCTTCGTATATAGAAGCGGATCGACAATCCCTTTAGTCTTTTGGTCAAGGACTGTCAGAATATACCTAACGCCTTCCCAATACACTTCCAACCCCTTCAATGCCTTATAGCACTTTTGATAATTCCCGTGCGCAGCTTGTGCTAATAGCGCATGCTTCTTCTGGACCCCTTCCATGTTGCTCTTGTTTTTGGAGTCCGGAGGTAGATCACTTTCGCATCCCATGGCAGTAGTGCCGCTATTGCTGACGGGTGAAACCAAACCTTCAGCTGTATTTCTACAAATTGAAGCAGGTGCCAAACCGAAAGAATCGAATCTGTTTGACAATTTTGAGGGAGCCGGCGAAGGCGTTCTCGAAACAGGGTTAGAGGAGGAATGTGCCAATCTCTCCTGCAAAAAGGCACATGCAGCAATGTAGATGGGCTGACTGCTGAATGGATTTCCATTCACAGCTCTCGGGTCGATCGTTTCTGCAAACCATAATATGTCTGAGATAGTCTTCGCCGAAGACATTGAAAGTTCGCGACTGTTAAGAAATAGCTCTTGCACTCTACCTTCAAACGCGATCAGGAGAGTTGGACGATGGAGCAACACTATCAAAGCGTGGAACCAAATATGCAAGAGTAAGAATACAGATCCTTGATTTGTTGAACTGTATTGTCGAAAATTTGTGACGTTAAAATGAAGGTTCGGTGAGAGCCGCTGATAAATTTCTGTTAGCTCCGCCTCCATCTCAGAGAGACGAGCGAATGTATCCTCGACTATCTTGTGCTTGTCGTTTATACTATTCAGCAAATCCGTGATTCGACCATAAAGATGAACAATCCTAATCAAGGCGGGAAAGGGCGGGGGGAACGCCGAACTGGTCTCTCCTTTGGGAAAATCGATCTCAACCTCTTCGGCGCGTATTGTTACCGGCCGGCCTGTGCCCGATGATATGACCCGATCCAGAAAAAAAACGGCCCAGAAAGTGTCCGTCCTCTCTTGCTCCTGAATTCTCGCTTCTTCCTCATTCCTCTGCACGTCGTAGCCCATCCTATCACCTTGATTTTCCTCCTCACTACCAGTGCTTCGACTCCTCATTCTCATTTCCTCCTCCTCCCGACCTTTTGCATCCCCTCTCACCCCTTCAAGCTTATGTAGGCCCAGATCCTGCGCCATTCTGATAGCTAACCCCAAGAACATCCACAATCCGCTATCACGGTTGCTCCCAAACTCCACGTATGCCAACAGAATACAAGCCTGCACAGTCGAAAGTTTAGGACAAGCAAACGTATCAACCACTTGACGTTTTGCTCTGTTTGCAAAGGCCGTGCCGTACTCGGACATTTGGGTTTCACTGGTACGCTTTCCACCTCCCCCCTGCAATGTAGCCTGTAATAACGAGTTGGTGGAGAATCTTGCTGTAACTGCGCACACCGCATCAACTAGTATGACATCGACACGTTTATCCCTAACATCCCTTGTGAACGTTTCTCGATTCAGAAACGGAAAGTTACAGCCAAGGTTTACAAAGAATGTTTCAACCAAATGGGCTATGAGCGGGTTGTTTGTTGTGGAATCGTTAGGATCGTAAAACGGAATATTTTCTGGTACTACGGAAGAAACTGTGGGCGTTGGCGAACTATCATAATTTGTGAATTTTGATGTGGGAGAAGTGCTGGATGAGCTTGCAGTCATTGAATGGCTCGCGCGACGGGCCCAACTCGATTGATCCTTGACCTCTACGACCATTTGTTTATAACCGGGGACGATGGCCGTGGGTCCAAAATATCGGAAATACGGTATTCGATGAGGATGACGATTAGGCGGATGCTGTGTAGCTGGAGGCGTTCGATCTACAGCCAGAGGCTAGAATGAGCACCAGAGGTTGAAATATAATTTCCCAATAAGAGGCGGAAAGATAATGAGTAGGGAATTGAAAGGGATCTTGAGGTATGAGATATAGCCTGTATCTTAAATGAAGTAAAAAGGAGAATAATCGGAGGAGAGCACCAACATCGCAAATCCGGACTAGGCCCCCCGTCTGTCATTCCACACCTACTTTGTCCATCGCCTCTTCCATCGTTCATCCAGACATTTCCTTTGTCATTTTTGTCCTGATGATCAATGGACTTTCGCTTCTGCGACTGCCTCCTGGATGGCGGAACATTTTTGCCACGTTGTTCATGCTGGTTACTCGGCAGATCACAAGGCCGCGAAGCCGAATCGGTCCCTTGTAAGATTCTCCGATCTTTGGGGGATATACTGGGAGATGTTAGATAGAAATGTTCTTTTACTGTCGGCTCATCCGTAGGAGTGGTAGCTGCAGGGGTGGAGGCTGATTTAGCAGGGACTTGATGATTGTCCTGTTGCCGCTGTTGCTGCTCCTGCTGCGGACTATGCGATGGCGTTGACGGGGCGGGATCAGAATATCCCAGGCACGAGTGGCCGTTCTGACGGCATGTATCGCAGGCAGGTTTCTCGCCGCTACAGCGAGTTTTCCTTTTGCGGCAAGTCTTACAGCTTTAATCCAGCTCCATAAGATGGCAACAAAGTTAGCATTGGATTCCAAGCCAATCATAAACAAAATCGAAATAAGAAACGATCAAATAAAAGAAATTTCCGATCTCTGAAGAGAAAGCACACATTTATTCCAGGGAATGCAAATGCATGGATCTCTATGAATGATATATCTTTTATGCCGTATATCAAGACCCCGCAACTCGTATTCGCGGGGGGGGGGGGGGGGGGGGGGTTGTGTGGGAGGGGTGATGGGCAATTGTGATTGAAAACCAGGCAAACAAGAAAAAAGAAAGGAAAAAGGAAAAAGGAACAATGATGAATTAAAAAGCGGAAGAGCGTGAAGAGTTATCTTTGTTTTTCTATCCTCTACCATCCTCACTTTTTGGAAAAGACTCATTTCTAGTTTGAGAGGGGTTGATATGCAGGAAATTACGTACGCGGCACTAATTCTTCTTCTTTTAGCATGCGGTTGTCCATCGTTTGCCACAAACCGGATTGGCCTTGTAAAAGGCTGCATGGCATGTGTGGGTTGAGGTACCGCCACGGCAGCTGCCATAGACTGCTCAGGCAAAGTCGATGACGATGGCGGCAGAATATCTACTTTTTGATTTTGATGTTCCGGTAGCTGATTATTCGCTGTTGCGGGGGATTCTGATATATGTAACGTGGTAGAAAGTGGAAGTAGTAATGACGAAGGAGTGGGAGGAGGATGGGGTTGTGGGGGGTAAAGAGGACAGGAAGCTCTAGTAGCAGATGACTGGGATAGAGAGAGAGGATCAATCGAGGCCGATGAAGAAGATGAATTCAAGACTTGCTCTATCTTTATGTTAGACGGAGATGAAGACACAGATGAGGCTGAAACAGAAGCAGCGTTCGGTATGTGCGTCGTCGCCATGTTTTTTTTCCCACTCTGGGGGGGGGCGTTGATCGATGGGGATCTGATATGCTCCACTTGTGGTAGTCTGAACAGAACTGAGGTCCTATTTTCCTTCCTATGCTTCCTTGTAACAATACCAGATGATTCACAAACAAAAATGATCTATGGTGAATTTAAGAACTGAGTGACCTTAAAGTTAATGGACCTTATGGTGAATAGTGATCGAATGAATGATTCAGAGGAATTCTTTCGGTGTTTTCCGTCCAGCAAGAGAGAGACAGACACGATATGAAGCCGCGGAGCTGTAGTGACCATGAGATAGCGTTAAACGAGAAGAAACAGAGCTGCAAAGCACGGACAAATGTGTAGTACTTAAGTGTGCATGCATGTATCAAGAGTATTTTACCTATATGTATGTGTGGATGTGGATGCGTGTGGGTAATAAAATATGTCTGAAGATGTATGCGTGTAGGCTACGAGAGTGAATCAATGTATAGCACCCAATATATCGGTATTGGGTGGTTCGAACTGGACTGTTCCAGAAGGACAGAAAAAGTTGATATTGAGGTAAGTAGGGTGATGTGGTGCAATGAGCTTGTAGCGTAAATATATGTAGGAAGTAGAGATTGTAGACTGTGTAGATAGGGCAAAGCGGATGCCATCAGTACCACGAAGGGAAAAGATGTGAGATTTAGGGTAGGAGCCGAAGGCCCCACCAATTATAACGTAAAGAGGAAGGAATTAACGGAGTGAGATGTTGTGGTTGTGGGTAAGAGAGATGCTAACTACCCGGCCCGTGACGCAAGGCCAGGGCATAGTAGTACTAGAGTACATACATGGGCGTGGGATTGTAACCCTAAAACAGAGGCCCGAACCATGGGAATCTGACATAAATCTAGTTTCGTTTCTCAGTGCACACCGGTATGTACCCGCGATGCTGTTGTTCGGCCTGGTGCAGACTGTTCCGTGACACAGTCAATAGAATAGATACGTGTAGGAAAGGACATGTATTCTGCACACCCACCAGAGCAGCCCCGCTTCCCTCGCAACGCTTGGAGAGCTTACTGACTGGTATGGAAAATATATCTTTAATTACTAGATGGATATCCTCGTCCATTCAGGTTACCTATGCTCTTGTAAGTTGTGCGTTGGTTGAATCCCCCCCTCTTCGATCGAGATTGATTGGTTGTCCAGCTGGCCAGAGAAAAGCAAAAGTGGGTAGGCAGCTAGTCAGTATTGGCATTGCTGAGAATCGAAAAGATATATCATACAACTAGATGATCGGGGCGGTACCGGGGACTTGAAACCCCAACCATTGTTGGTATGATAGGGCTTCCTGATATAACTACCTACATCTTATAGAGTACGTACCTCATGCTTAACACCTCCACCTACCTCCTCCTCACCTCCTCCTCCTCTTTCTTCTCATGTTACATTAGCCTACCGGTAGAAGACCACCACCACAAAGCACCATGGCCACCTCCTCGGTGGGATTTTCAGGGATGCTCAGCGCATTCAAGTGGTGCTCGTACCCCCCCAACAAGGTTTTTTTTTTCTTGTGTAATTTCGCTTATTTGGGCGATCAGATCCTTGCGCTATGTACCGCACGTGGCAGTGGGAGGAGAAGGCTGCTATTTTTTTTCCTGGGGTCCCCTGGTCCTTTCCTGTGGAGATCATCGACCTGGATATATGGGAACGGGATTTGTTTGACGTACGTTTAAGTGCTCGCTTGTGAAATGATCCCTACCTGTGTGCCTACAAGCAACTGTGGGGTTTGCATACATGTAAAAAGTGAGGATTCGTGGGGCGTTGCACGTTGAAAGGCACGTTGTGTATACATCCAGCCAGAATCCATTCAACATTCGTTCTGTCAATGCAGCCCCATCATCATCAATCCATCCACCCATCAGTCAATCGACCAGATTCCCCCTTATCCTTACAGTCCATACGATACGGTACATAATACTCTACTATACCTGCACCTTCGTATCATATGTAGGTACGCGTACGAGGAACGTCTGTGATCTGAAGTTGAGATAGAACCTCAATGTGAGAAGAAAAATGAAATATAATACTAAAAACGAAATAAAAGGGGATACAATACTTTGATCGTCATAATAATTCACTCGGTACATCATCATACAGCTGCAATAATAATTTCCTGGAACTTGGAACCGTAGTAACTAGTCTGACCAAGAACCCCAAGCTGTCGCTGGACGGTTCGGGCCTGCTATAATACGTCTTTGTTATGGACATATTCTAAGTCGTAATCCTACACAGCTCAAAAATCTTGACTCTTTCTTTTTCATCCCCTAGCTAACCTTGGCATAAATGCCCCAACTGGTGTGCAATTGGGCGCAATCTGCTCTCGTATCGATTTCATCCGGCGTGAGATTATGTGTGTTGTGCATCGAGGCTCGAGCTATGAGAAAAAGACAGAGAGAGAGGAATAGAGAGAGAGAAAACATGCTTAGGCTAGCTAGATCCCTGGGTCACATCGAATCTTCAAGAGCTCGTGGTCTTTTTAAGCCACACCCGACTCCCGAGGGCTCATCCTATGAAGTGCCCATGCCCGTAACCCAAGCTGCTGCACACTCAAAGAGTATCCTCGCGATGCGGCGGGTGTTCCCACTGACATGCTCCCACTCCATCGGATGTCGCACCAAAGTGAGGATAGCGGACCCGAGAACCAGTTCGCACACCTAGTGGCCGGGATTCATGGCGGCCCGAGGGCACGGTGTGGAAGGGTGTTCATGTACTCGCGGTAGGCATGAAGAACCTGAACATCGTTTTTCTGGTAGCAACCACTTGGACCCCTGCTAGCGCGTTTTTATGTTCAGGTTCTTGTTACCTGCCCCGAGTATGTACTCTAGATGTACCCATGGCCCAGCGTTGTTACTATGAGGTGTCTCACCTTCCTGAACCTCGCCGCGTCCGCATTGTCCCCCCGCATCTCGTGCAGCAAAAGAGAGATACTCGGGGCAGGTAAAAAGTACCGGACAATGCAAGTTTTGTCTGGGGTTTTTTTTTGCAGTAGCTCACGCCTAGCACGCACACCCATTGGTGAACCAAAAACCTGCATTGTCCGGTACTTTTTACCTGCCCCGAGTAGGCGACTCAGACAATGCGTTTCAAATAATTCCACAGACAGATTGCACTAGCAATAAATTTGTTAAACGTCTCACTAATAAGCTTCAAGGCACTCGGTGATCAAGAGCATCATCTCCTACCTATCAGTAGCACACTCTCGATCCAGATAAAACTTGATCAAGCAAGACAAGAGCAAGACATTAAGAAGAAATAAAAAGCACACAAGAGACACGTTCAACTAAAATAACTTCTTCATACTGTTAGGTACTTGAGTAGGTACTTGTAGTACATGTACTTACTGTCATAGAAAGGTATAAAAAAAAGCCAATGATCTGTAAAAAGAAATCAACCCTGTTGTCATCCTGTTGCCACAATGACAAGCGATCCCCCCCTCTCAATTCCAAGTTGGGCAAATTATTACATATGTGTTAGTTTACAGTATAGCTCATGTAGTACACAGCCACCTCCGCCCATGTTTAAGCCCCAGGCCTTGGGGAAAAAAAAGCTTGGTATTATTATGCATCACACATAAACGGGTTTATAGTTCAACCCGAAATTTGTCTCCTCTCCTCTGCATGTAAGAGAGACTTGTATTCTGGATCAGATTTCCTTCTGACCTCTGCCCCTCCTTTCCCCTCCCCCCCCCCCTCCCCGAAGTCTCCCACGTACCCTTTACAATAAAAGAGAACCTCTCATTGCTGTTTCTAAGTACTGTTGGTTTCTGAACTTCTCAATTGAGAGGTTTCGTTCTTTAAAAGCGAGCAGCATGTCGGCTACTACAGCCCTCGTGCCAATTCAGATATCAGCCAATATCTCCCTGGAGGAGTGGCGCCAATTCCAAGAGTGGAGGAGCGAAAAACTGCGGCTTCAACGTGAAGCAGGGGAAGCAGGGGTGGAACATGAACTGCGGCCCGAGGATGAAGCCGAGATAATTGAACGGTTGGGGGAAGACATTGAGAGAGAGCACAGAGAAGCTTCCGAGAAGCAAGCTGTAGTTGATGGTAGTGAAGTTGGTGATAAGAAAAGAAAGCGGAGATCGTTTGGCCGGGAATACAAATTGGACGCAATTTCGTTCGTCTCTCCACCGCAGCTCTTACTCCTCCCTCTTCCCGCAATTGAGCGTGCAAGCTAACACGCACGCAATAAAAAAAGCTTCTTGGAGAACGGTGTAATGAACTCGGGAGTAGATGGGGAGTGCCCAGTTTCTGTTCGCCATTGCGCGAAGAAATTTGGGGTCGAACCAAAGAACATCCGTGACTGGCGGCGCCAGGTCATGAAAATTCGAGCCTCGGAAGCGGGTGCAAAGTGCATTGGCAGCGGCCGCAAGCCCGACTGGCCCGAGATGGAGCAACTGCTCCACGATCGTTTCAAGGAATGGAGAAACTCTGGACGTCGTGTGGATCATAGCTGGTTCTTTCGAAATGGAAAGGAGATCTTTGAGGACCGCTACCCAGACCATGTCACCACAGACCTTAACGGTCAAAAGAAGTATACGTTAAAGTATGTACACCACATCCTTCATACTAAAAAATAAATTAAGAAAAACTCGTTGCCTGTACATCCACCATGGTGCATGGATGGCCAGCAGA